ACAGTTATACCGAGGAAGTTACGGGAAGTTGTCCTGCGTCAATCCCATGATAATTTAACAGTAGGACATCTCGGAATTAGGAAGACATTGAGTCAGCTACGACAAAGATTTTACTGGATAGGACGACCACCATATGAAGAGTTGCCTGTGAATATGTCAGGGTTTGAGAAAGTGTTATCGGAAAGGATGGATGATATTCACCATCAAGTGCGTTCAAACTTGAAAACGTCTGCTGATTCGATGAAGTTATCTTATGATAAGAGATCTACTGAACTCAGCTTTGAACCAGGATAAAAGGTGTGGTTGTATAATCCCAGGAAGACCAAAGGGAAGTCTCCTAAGTTGTCTTCTCCATGGGAAGGCCCATATGATATAGTGGATTGTCTCTCAGACGTGACTTTCCGGATAAAATGTGGTCGGCGAGGTAAGCCAAAAGTGGTGCATGCCAACAGGCTTTGGCGTTATCACGGTCCACGACATTTCGTTTGGGACGAAGTGAACAAAGGAACAAATGACGCTGCTGAAGAGGTGCCACCTGAAAAAACCAATGTCGAAGAAGAAAATCTACTCAGTTTTGAGAAGCGAAACGATGGAACTCTTGATGAAGTTACTACCACTGATGTCACTGTTACCGATGATAGGACATTTACTGATGAAGCAGATGAACCCCACATGAAGCAGAAGCCAACGAGACGGAGACCAGTACGGAAGAAGATACGTCCCATAAAATTAAGAGACTTTGTTGAATTGTAATTTTGTGATTGTAATTCTGTACATTTAATTAAGTTATTGTTAATTGTTATTGGGTTATTGTAAGTGGCTATTGTTCGGGACGAACAATACTAAGGAGGGGACAGTGTTGCGTCAGCGAGGTCACGTGACTAGTATCATGCCACCCGTTTTCTAGAACTATCCTGTTCCTTCGGGAGTGCTCTAGCATTTGCTAGATTGGGGGTTGTCTTGCATATATAAGAAGGTCACGGCGTGACGTGACAATGTGTGTAGGTGGTGAGTAATTGAACTGCAGTCAGAAAGTATTGTTGAAGTTAACGTTCGTTGTTAAAACGTTTGTTATAGAGCGACTGTTGAAAATAAGTGTATCGGTAAAGTTATATTTAGAAAGAATAAACCAGTTTTATTAAGTAAGGACTTGTGTCGCTAAAGTTTCGTCAATTAACGACTAGAGGTGTAAAAGGTGACTTTCTGCAGATTAATTTAGGTTGTGGCAATAATCAACTAAGCACTAGCATCCTTTAAATATGAAATGAGCTTTAAGTCCAATGGAAATATCCAATGAAGTCACTGTACACAGTTTGTAACTGGAAAGAGTTATAGCCAAGAGGAATCTTCTAAACATTCCAGAATCAAATTTATTTTTGAACTCTCCAGTCAATGAGTATCAGCTGTTTAACTACACCTGGAATAATAGAAGATCTGAGTCAATGGGCTTATCATTTTAACCTTTGCATCACTATGCTAAACTATTTGTTTACGGGCTCGATATGTGAAATGCGCTATTCACCTATGTATCCTAAACAATCTATACAGCTTACTATACATTTCTAGTCTGCACTAAATTCAGTGACATGAAACATGATAACAACAAGGGGGAGTTAGAAATACATTCTCTCAACTGCAACGGCTCCTGTCCGTATTCTAGATTATATACCAAAAAGGACCAGAAAGAAAGAAGTACAGAAGTTGAAACTCTTTATAATACTACTTAACATGTTTAACAGATGTAAAGTCTCGTGACCTGTACAAGAGGATCCTGTTAATCGAATGATACTTGATATTTTGGCATCGAATTGTCGTACATGACGGTCCTGAGGTTGACACCCTTGGGGTCAATCAAGCGGTCAACAATTGCTAGGATGAACTGAGTAATAACATTAGATATATTTCACATACTGTTTGGTACGAGTGATTTACCAACGAAATCCTGGTGTTATTCATTCATTGTTGTTAAATGCAAAGCCACAAAATAAGGTATTTGTGCTGTGCCCAACACGGCTATCAAAACCCAATTTGTAGCATTATAATTTATAATCTTTAGACTTACTCCTGAGCCATTGCACTGTTCTCATCATTTTGATACTTTAACTGTGTAGTAGGATCCCTTGTAGTGCTCCATGGTCAGTGTGAACAGTGGCAACCAGGTTATAACTTTCTATAAAACTAGGAGGACATTTTCTCTTCGCTCAATCTTTGTGGATCAGGTTAACGGAGTGCCAGTTTTGAACATCCATAATGAGTGTTAAGGTACTGTTGATCTGGCTTAGTGCTAAAAATCTAGCAATGCTGTGCTGTCCCAATATGACAGTGAAACACGTCGCATTTTAGAGCTTCGGGATCGATGGGATTGGTAGGCTCTGAAACATGCTCTTTTTTAGGTGGGTATCAAAATAAAAGAAAACTCATAAGATGTAAATGACCACATTCACCATCTCCTAAAATTCCCATTTTCTGATTTTACTTCCATTATCAGATAGGAATCTTAGTCATTTGTCACACATTTTTCATCCAATAGGCTAGCTCATTTTTTCAAATACTATAAAATACTAAGCTCTGAGAACCTGTGGATCGAAACCATGACCCCAAGATAGTGAATTTCTCAAAATCAAAATTGGAGATTTACTTATTGAGTTAAACAAACACAGTTCTCTGAGTTCCTAAAGAAAAGTCATTGTAAAGAGCGTCATCCTCATCATTCCCTTGTTTATGGAGGGCCTTCGAAAGATAGCTACACCTGTATATTTTACTGTCTCTGGAATCTAAACACATTTGTTCTGCATGGTGATACGTGAAGAGTCTAATCAACAATGGCATATTATGTGTCAGGAGACTCATAAGAATGAAAAATTTAAGTTTACACAAGTTCTCACTTTGATGCTTACACTACTAAGTCTGTCTTCCAATGTGAAAGCAGTGATTCTATAACGCGTGACCACATATGTGTAACCATCTTCACTATCAGATAATTAACGTCTATATAAATAACATCTGAGGAAAGGAATATGGTAACACTTTCCACAGTGGAGTAACGTTGTCACTGTTGGAGGACATCTGTCTCTGTTTTACCTAAAAGAGTATTTCTTTGGCCCCTTAAGGGCTTTCGTACGCTTCATGGGAAAGTATATTGATAAATGAATGTCTACTACATTACAGTACCAACAACAATTCCAAGGTACGAGACCATTATTTCGTCCTATCTATGCTGATTTGAATCTCATCCATCTAATGGGAACATGTGCCTTCTATTTAGGGCAGGTTTCATGTATACCTTCTCTGCAATAAATGTGGTCCAAAATTAAACCGAAATGGCTCCCAATATAACTCTCCTATATATTATAGGCAAATATGGCCATACCATCACAGTAGAACTGTCGAAGTCATCACCTGAATTTAGATGACATCAAAATTTTCATTGATTCTTAATATCTGCTATGTGTATCTACTTACATGAGACTTTCTTGAAACCTTTCGATAGTTTCATCATTTGACAGTAATCACTCTAGAGAAAGGAGAAATTGTGTGATGGATTGGTTCATTAGTAGCATGTTAGTTGACCAGCGTTCTCCCTCAGTAAATATAATTGCTTACAATACCATTGGAAGCCAATGTTATCAATATTTTCATACTATCACACTATTCTCTCTTTACCCGTCACCATGAGCAGCTTTTTATCAAGCAAACTTGGATGATCTTCTTGAGCAGTTCTGTCTTTGTACATTACACTGAGAAAATTAAATTAACACAATTCACTTTGGTGTGTCAGAGAGATTATGTTGTGAAATCACAACCTTCCTCTCCTCAGTGCTTTTCAATATACATTTTTTCTATGTCTCAAGTCAGATGTTTCCTGCTATTTACCTTTCAATTTTTCATCCTCTTTTTTTTCCTTTTCCTTGGAAGATGGGCATTGACCAATGTGTTACTTCATATGACCTCTCCTAACTCATTCACTTATTTTCATTTGCAAAATAGACTGATCACGTGATGTATTGCAGTTATTGGTTTTTAGCTTTATATTTGTAGAAATGTAGTAACAGTAACGTGCTCCACATTCTGGACTATAAGTCGTCCAAATCCCATTATTCTGTCAGATAAAAGTAACACAAACGTTGGTGGTGAGGGAGGTTGACAAGATGCCTTTGCTATGGTCTATAGCTTTGAAATTTTAAATAGCTTTATGCTGTGAAAATCCTGTAACAGTGTGTTTCTTATTGAAGGACAAAGACTTGAAGACAGACGGCATTGTTGGGAACTAAGAATTTAACCAGAATTGACGTTACTCGAACACTATTTCCAGTGGCAGCTTTTCGTAACTGCCCAATGGAAAAATATTTATATGTTTATAAATGTCTATAAAAAATGTTTATTCGTAAATTTATTTCTTTTACCCACTCATCATTAAATTACAATGTTCTCTCTTATGAAGGTGGCTAGCATGGCCTGGTGGTTACGGCGATCGACTTACGGGTTTGAAACCACTTCATTAAACGTGCTATGCGGGAGTTATAATGTGATGGTCGATTTCACTATTTGTTACCTTCCCTTTAGTCTATCACCGCTATATTAGAGACGATCAGCACAAATAGCCCTCGAATAGCTTTTCGCGAAATTCCAAACAAACTAAATTTATTAGGGAAGAATGAATTGGAGCACCAAACTTTGTCCGGTCATTTCTTTTGTTCTTTTTTCGTCTGTAAGTTAACTAATTAATTAAGATATTTTTGAATTTTTTCAGAGCTAGAGACGAAGCATTTATAACTGTGAAGTTATCATTCGAATCATTGCCAGTCGTTTTTAGTTTTTCCTAAGAAAACATTCTGTGTTTCATTTGTAATACAGTGAAAAATGGCCAAATACAATCTCGTAATGTTTGTAGATTAATTCTCCTTTTATTAATTGTCTATTGTTTATTCATTTTCTAATTTCCAAACAATTAAAATCAAGTTCAATTTATGCTTTTTCTAAAATATGCAGTCAACAAGCTTGATTTTCATGGGACTGAAGACAATACTACTGTATACACTAGTAGCGACACCTCACGGTGGAAAAATGATGTTCATAATCTGGATTGGTGGACTATATGCTACGTTTCCTGTTGAATTAGTGTGCATTTCTGCCACTGTTGCTGAAGTATTTGGGAAGAAACACACAGCTATGATTTATGGAATGATCTACTTTGTAGCAGTAAGTAATAAATATGATACTGTGTACGTTTAACTCAATAACAAACTACAAGATTTATCTGTATTTTTAATAATGCCGAAAATTATTATTCAAGCAACGAACAGAATAACTTCATCTGCATAGTATCTATTAACTCCTGAGAGTTACTTCAATCTTCTTGATATTTTTGATAGACATTTAACTGCTCAGTGACAATATAGTTTCTTCTGTTTGATACTTCAGTCTAAATATATATAGAAAGAGCTATATCTTTATTCTTGAAACATCTAACTTCTGAGTGAGTGTGTATTTCCTTCTGGCCATTACTTTAGCCTACTAATATTTTTACTTAATAACCATCTAATGCTAAGTGATCATATATATTTATTCTTCTAGCTGATACTTCAATCTTCTCAATAATATATTTACTTGTTAACCTTCTGGCTGCTGAGTTACAACGGACTTTCTTGTAGCTGGTACATCAGATTACAGATATATTTATTTGTTATCCATCTAACTGCTTAGTTATCTTGTATCTTCATGTAGGGTACTTCTGTTATTATCTGGCCTCTGATGTTTCAAGTAATTATTCCGTACTTCGGATGGTTTGGAACATTTTGTTTGATTGGGAGTATTTCGTTTATTGGTAAGTTATGATAGTTTGTATGGAATAAATTAAAAAAATTGTGTTCATTTTTACTGTATTTTAAAATATATTCAGTTATTTTATATCGCTATAATAACAAATGTAGTGGTTTTTTAAATAAATTATAGTTCACCAGTACTAAAAGTAAATAAATTTAACTGAGTCAAATTATTTTTGGATTAAATGCCACATATTTCATATCTTCAAGGTCATTACCAAAATGTTATGAAATCAGACATTCTCTGAACAGTAAAGATGAAGTCGTTCCAAAAATAGTGATGTCTAGAAATGGCAAGACGTCATAAAAGTTTTATAGCAAACTATAATCGGTATTGGATTCACATAATAAACATAAACTAAAGTTATTTTTGCAACTTTAAATTTTCTAACGTGGTTTTCCGAAATTTTATAGAATAAATAATGTACATTCTTTGTTGTCAAAGCATATAAATGACGTGTATTTACTTTCTGTGCTACTTGTACTTAAGATAATTGGGCTTAGAAACCTAACCTATTGCACACTGTCGTAAATTGTTGAAGGTTTGCGTTACAAATGATGATCAACAATACTAGGACTAACGTAAAGTCAATGTACGTGTACAGTAAGGGCGATTGCTAAGCACAGCTACAAATATTTTACAGAGTGACTGATTCATTCTACTCTACGCACTTTTTCGTATTCATAATCTATCTTCGAATGTACAAGATCACATGTTACTAAAACCTTAGAGCACTCTAGCCCTATCTTAACGTCAACATTAACGACCCGCAGCTCCCTCTCACTAACAAACAAATTACAATATTAAAAATCATACCTTAAACAGTTAGATTCTAGTCCCTAGTGTTCAGTAAGAAAAATAATCGATAGTAATAGGTTAATAATTTACTGCTAAATAAAACTAGTTAATAGACAATAGTTAATACAAAGAAGATTTGTAAGAGTAATTTGTAAATAAAACTATTTCCACATGATGAATCTATGAGTATGTTTAATAATTAAAAATACTATTTATATAATTTCAAAATTTCTCTAGTTACTTGTGTGAAGAAACATTTTATGACGTGTGAAGTTAAGTGTTCTTTTAAATTTGACCGAAAACTTTAGACGTGTTGAATATTACATTGTATATATAAAAAAACGACACCATTAAATTGTAATAAACTATCAGTGTCACAATTTTGAAAACTAACGGACTAGTGTTTCTCTCTCTCTCTTGTACGATCTTGTATACATATAATACTTATGCCTGTTTTAGTTACATGTTTCTAAATTTTTTAATTCAGACCTAACACATGTATCATCCCTATTCACCAAAACCATGCATAATTTTTGTTGTTTAGTATGGAAACTTTCCCTGTTTTATTCTCTATACAGGTTTTCTTACGTCAATGGTTTTTCCTGAAAAACATCACACACAACCAACAAATCTGACAGTTTGTAATGAAGAAAAATAACAAGTCTTTTATGGGACTGTTGTATTACGGAAATGAACCAATCATAGTCCGTATCACTTCATTATTTACAGTCCATACTTCTGATTGGATATATAAGATGTATTTAAATAAAGAAGATTAACTCTTGTGTTTTCCTTTCCTCCATAAAGTTTATTTAACTGTTGTCATAGCAACGTGTGTTTTACTTTTGATCCTATTTGTTGTGGTTATGGAAATTAAGCTGAGTTGTTGTTGAAAAACTTTATTATAAACTTGTAAAAACTGTTATTACACTATTTTTTTATATAAATAATTGTAATAAAGCATTAATAATGTCATGTGGCTGTGTTTTGTCCACTATATCTTTCCGTTAATTTTTGGACCGGTCGTGTCCATGTATTTTGCATGCCCGGACTGTGAATCTTAGGGTTCATGGTTTACGTACTTCCCGCGTAAACATGCTATTTTATTTTTTTTCATATTCAACCATCATGGTTTATTAACTTCCAGTAAACCTATTTGACTCAGAAGAAAGCCTGACGTGTCTTCCAAAGTACTTTATTTATTTATGGTTCATTACATATCGTAGACCCTAAGCCTGACATACCAAATGGTAAATGATTATGATCATTTCCAACATCTTTTATTCTTCTAAGGTTGTTTGAGATCAGAAACAAAAAGAAGATAAGAGAAACCCGATAATAAAGTATCAGTTTATAAATTTTTAGGTAAGAAATCCCCCTCTCTATAGGAATATATATGTTTTATTCTCTATAGAACCTATAGCCAAGTAGTTATTAATTTACCGGATACATGTATGTGTGTGTGGTGTGGTGGAGGTATTTCTCTCTTCATTTAAGCCTCTCCAACCGATATTTTAAATTTCTAAGAGAATTTAACGGTAAGTTAAAATTCTAGATACGTTGCATCATTCATTCAGTACGATGTATAAATAACAAGGGCTATCTTTATATAGTTGTCTCTAATTTTTAACTCCTGTCATTATTATAGCGACGACCCTAAAGTGTGACGTTGATATTTTAAGGACGGTAATTACTGTATCAGTCCCATCCTGGACAGACCCAGTAACAAACTACAACCAAAACTGAAAGGATCAAGTTCTGACATTGCAACAAAACTGACCAATCAGCATACAAAATAGCACGTGAGTTAAAAACCTGATATTTTTACTCAAACTGATTAAATTGTTTATCTATTTTTTTTGAGATAGTAACAGTGATTATATTTTATGGTGATTTTAATTCAGTTCGTTCCCTAATGGATAAGTATTCATGTAGTTTTGTTAACTGATGGGATAAAGCAACTGAAATATTAAGTTATGTACATGTTTTTTCTCTAAATTAAATTGTTTTTCTCAATAATATAAATCCCCCACACAAAGACTTTATACCAAACATTAAGGCGATGATTATACCATACTCTACCAAGACATAGATAACACACATTAACTCGTTAGTTATGCCAAATATTCCAAGATGTACCATAAAATATAGTTGTATCATATATAACACTTGTAACGTTTAGAACAGTCTCCTGTATGGAACTAAGTCGTGCACCAAAGTATTATCAAGTTCAGGTCTATAGTTACATAATAGGGTAGTGATGGAACATTTCGTACACCAGAATAGCTTTATAAACAACAGAACATCATACTATATTTTGAACTTTTCAGGATCCATTTCAAACTGGATTCGCATTAAAGAACAGTGGCAATAATATGACTTAGTTACATATCATTACCCTATTATAAAACCATTACAATTGGCTATAGTTTGGTGTATGACTTAGTAACATATCATTACCCTATTATAAAACCATTACAATAGGGTAATGATATGCAACTAAGTCATACACCAACCTATATCCAACTTTAATGGTTTTATAATAGGGTAGTGACATTTAACGTAATACACCAACCTATAGCCAATTTGTAATGGTTTTATAATGGGGTAGTGATATGTAACTAAGTCATACACCAACCTATAGCCAACTGGAATGGTTTTATTTAAGTCATACACCAACCTATAGCCATCTGTAATGGTTTTAAAATAGGGTAATGATATGTTACTAAGTCATACACCAACCTTTAGCCAACTGTAATGGTTTTATAATAGAGTAATGATGTGTAATTAAGTCATAAAACAAACTATAGCCAACTGTAATGGTTTCATAATAGGGTAATGATATGCAACTAAGTCATACACCAACCTATAGCCAACTGTAATGGTTTTATAATGGGGTAGTGATATGTAACTAAGTCATACACCAACCTATAGCCAACTAACATTTCATTACCCTATCCATAAAACCGCACCAACCTAAAGCCAACTGTAATGGTTTTATAAATAGGTAGTGATGTGTAACTAAGTCATAATCCAACTTATCGCCATTTGTGATTATGTTACTAAGTCATATAATAGGGTAATGATAGCCAACTGTAATGGTTTTAAATAGGGTAATGATATGTAACTAAGTCATACACCTACATAAAAACCTTTAGCCAACTGTAATGGTTTTGTGTATGACTTAGTTACTAGGGTAATGATATTGATGGTTTTATGACAATTGGCGATAAGTCTGT